CGCCTTGAATATGCTCAGCAGCTTTTTTGTCAAAGATCGAACTGCATCTTGGACACAACATCACCTCTGACTTCTTTTTCTGGCATCTTTGCAGGAAATCTGCCAGATTTTCATTTTCCCGAGGGAAAGCAGTCTTGTTAGCTTGTTCTTGCCTCATGGCCTCCTCTGATGCTTTTGGGTCAGAGAGTTCGACCATGTTGACATTCATTGTATCTTTGTTGGCAAGAGTCAACTGCTTCATTTGACTCTCCAAATTCTCCGTCTGGCCTTGAACTGTGGCCAAGTGAGAACTGGGTTTTGGTCCAGTTTTTTGTGCTTCAACGGTCTCCAGCTTTGGGCTTTCGACCGCTTTCTGAACCGCTTCAATTGTCTTTCTGGATAAATTCCCAGAAAAACTGCCAAAGATTGGCATGTTGATATGGTCCTTTGAGACTTCGACCATTGTGATTCCTGGCCTCTTCGACTGGCTCCTGGATGCCTCGATCACGTTCACCTTAGAAGGCTCAGCATAGTGGGCTTCAGCCTGCAACGGATTTGAGTCGACAGCCATGGGGGTTTTGTCAGCAAACTTCAACCTCCCTTCTTCGATAGTGTCTTGCACAAGATTCCTGAAAAGAAAACATTGAGAAGTTTTATGGCCCAAAAAATTATGATATTTGCAAAAGCCTCTCTTCTTTCTTTGATCAAGAGGAGGCACTTTTACCCCTGGGGGTACTATCATTTGGCCATCTTTTACAAGCAAGTCAAATATCTCATCACATTTTGTAATGTCAAAACTATAAGTCTTTTTGGGGAACCTATCGTTGGTCCTTTCTGGACCAATGGGATTTTTCCCACTTGAGGGGACTAACAGTTTGCAAGAGTATGGTGGCCCTTGTTTTAGTTCCGCTAAATCGACTTCTCCTTCTTCGACAGTTATAGTATCGTCGAAGGATTCTGGATCTTCGTCATCCATATCAACATACGCTATCCTCTCTCTCTTGTGAGTTTTCGTTGCCTTTGCTTTTTCAGCTTTGAGGCGTTCTACCTGTCGAACTCTATTGGCCAGTTGGGCCATGTCTCTCAGGTATTGAGTGTCTAACTTCTTCCTAATGGAATAATCTAAACCGCCTGCGGCTATTTCGACTAACTCATGTTCCGGCACTTGTATAAAACATCTTGCTTTGAGCAACCTAAACCTATTTAGATATTCGTCTATAGGTTCAGTGAAACGTCTCTTTACACTGGCCAATTCTTTCAGGCTTATCTTGGTTTGCCCCATGTAGAATTGCTCGTGGAACAATCTTTCCAACTGGGTCCAATGGTGGATCGAATTGGGGGGGAGAGTTGTAAACCAAGTAAAAGCGTTCTTTGTTAAAGAACTTGGGAAGTACTTAATCCTCAGGTTTTCGTTATTCGAAATATCTCCTGCTTCGATCAAGTATCTCGCCACGTGTTCGACAGTAGATTCTGTCGTGTCCCCAGAGAACTTAGTGAATTTGGGGACTTTACATCTAGGAGGTAAGTCTGTTTGTAACACGTATTCTGACAACGGGGATGTAAAGTTGGGCCTTCGAAAGCCCATGTTCATCCCATTTTGAGTCATGATCCTTTCGATCATGGTTGCCAGATTATTTTCCAAACCCATGTTTTGGTATTGGATATGCTGAACTACTTCGTCAGCATTTTGGTTTCTGTTAACTAACCTTACCTCTGGGGTTATTACCCTAGGTTCCTCGACAGGTTGCTCCAATCGTGCCCTAAAGTTTTCTTCGACAGGCTGTTGGACCTGGTTGATGGTGGTTTCTTCCTCTAAGAATACACCCTGGTTTCCCCTTATTTGCGCCCTTTGGGACTGTCGAATAGGTTGGGGTACTCCAAAGAAATCAGCCAAACGCGTCATTTGCGCTGTCATCTACTGATTCAATTGAGTAGTGTTTTGTATTAGAGGGTTCAGCACTGTACTTAAAGTTTGTGCCAACATTTGAACCATATCATGGTTGCTTTCGTCCATCTGTTGCCTCAAGACTGATGTCGAAGCATTTGTAAGGCCATGTGCTACTTGGGACGTTCCTCCTAAGAGTTGGGTCCTATTTCTATTCGCCATACCTACTCCAGAACCTTGGAGTGGCGAAGAGGCACTCACTAAAGGGTCTGAAAAAGTGGACGCAGCATTCGTCAGGCTAGCCAAGTCAGAAGTTGGCATGCCATAGAGTGGTTCTCGATTATGACCGCCTGTCATAAATCCTGGGGGAACAAAAGGCCTTGTGCCTAAATTTCCCCTTGGTGGGGGAGTTCCCAAAGGCACTCTGGGGCCTTTGAACAGAGGTAATGGCCCCGTTGCTGTGACCGTTACTGCTGGTGTTGAACCAGCGGTTATCGCTTCACTTACGGTCGGGATAACCGTTGCTCCCATATTTGTTTGTGGGATTTCGTTATTGTTTGGCGGATTCGCCATCTCTTCCCTTCTTCTGGCAGTATTGGTATCGTTAGTGTATATTCTACCACTTCTCAATAACATGCAACACTCCTCGAAAAAGATGAGATTATTTTCAAAAATCAACACACAGTCCCATCAGGTGTGCCAATTTGTTTACCGTGGTTATTGGTAAACAACCGCTGATCCTCCAAATGGTTACTTATTTGGTTACTCGCAGGATCGATCAGATTGATCCTAAGACATATGTTGATTTTGAGGTTTTTATTAAATTGGATAATGGTTAAATGACAATAAAATAAAGAGGCTTTAAGTAAATTGCATGAAGAAATAGGCTTGGTAAAATAAATGAAGGCTTGAAGTAAAGGACTTCGACAGGGAAAGTAAAGAAGAAAGCAAGTAAAGTTTCTGGAAAAGTAAATGACTTTGATTAATAAAAGTGGTGTTTCACACATACATTCTCAACAATTCTTTCTCACACGCTGGGTACTCGAATCTATATGAGTGACTTTGTATATAATTGTGAACACACGCGAGAAACTGCGTGAACTACTACTATTTATACTAAAACATCCCAAGTAACCGTCGGGCAGTTACACTGCTTCGAGATGATTCCACTTGGCACGTTCTCAACGTTCGACGCTCCAGATCTTTGCACGTTGCACTTGGTAACTGCTGGAAACCGTTTTCCCTCCAAACGCTTGAATTTCAAACCGTTCCACTCTGAACCATCGAACATCTTCGTCGAGAAGCACTTTCGACGAGAAACACCTTCGACGTCGAAAGTAACCAACTTCTCCCTTGGAAGAAATCTTCTAAGTACATTGCCATCTTTAGATGGGCATCTCGACAGACCCAGCTGGTCGAAAACATCCTTCAGCTTTAATGGCTGACATTAATAAAACAAGGGTGTCGAATTTAGGAGCCAACAATTTGACATCGGTTTTTCAATAGCCGAGATGAAGGCTTTGTCAAGAAAAGTATTATTTGTAGTAGTGTTCCGTAATGGACACAAACAAAAAATGTAGTTTGTTTGGTTTTACTGATTTCAATTAATGCGGAGATAAATATGATAGAAAGTCTATAGTTGCACACATCCTTATGTTCAGTGAAACATTAATATCATGGTGTTCGAAGAAGGAATCAATAATAACACTCTCTTCTTGTTAGGACGAGTACATTGGTGCTTCGTTGTGTGTGTGCCAAACTGTGTGGTTGATGAATATGTTGAAGGAGCTAGGCAGTGAAGAGGGTGTCAATGTAACACTCATGATTGATAACGTTTCTTCTATAAACCTTGCTAAGAATCCAATTGCACATGGGAGAAATAAGGATATTGAGATGAGATTTCAATAATTGAGAGAACTTGTTGGTGAAAGAAGGTTGAAATTAGAGTATTGTATAAGTGAAAAACAAGTGGTTGATCTACTAACCAAAATAGTCACAATTGAAGTGTTCAACAGATTGAAGAAGAACATAGACACGAAAAACTTAATGCACATGAATTAAGGTGGCGCGTTAAGTGAAAAAAAAGGTAAACCACGCACATAAATGAGTACACTCTAAAAGTTTTCGATTTTATTTATTAATAAATTATACCTCATCTTGTATGGTGTATAAATACACTTCGGATAGCTCATAATAAATAAATGTTATATTTTCAAGCCAATTACTCTCTATTTCTCTATCACTCTCCAAACTCAATTACTCAATTTTTTTTCTAACCATAATCTTTATAAAAAAAGTGTGGTTGCAAAAACTTCTAATAAAAAATTTATAAATCTAAAATTTGATAGAATCCAAAGTGATTTTACTCAAATTTATAAGAATTTATCCGATTTTACTTGATTTTGAAGAAATGAACGTTTTGTCTTATAACATACTTCAAGTTTATAAATATGACCCTTTATTATAGTGATTCAATGAAGATCGGGTACATTTTGAAACTTTAAATTTCTTAGTATCAGAGTTGAATGAAGTTCTATTTGGATTAGGATTGTATTTACTCTTGATGGACACATCATAGCTACCACTCTGTTTGCATTTATTATTATTAAGACATATTTCTTCAGTTTTTATCTATATTAATCATTGTTGTTAATTTTTATATAATAATGATATTTTTTTCTATAATATCATCAATTTTTTATTATTTTATTTAACTTTTTTCTTTTTTTATAATAAATAAATAGAGATAATTTTGGCAAAAAAAACAATCATTATTATTTTAAAATTTGAAATGACACTTTAAAAAAATAATTTTTTTTTTAAAAATTACAATTAAAAAAGAACAGAAAGAATAATTGTTCAATAACTTTAATTCATAGTTTTTTTTTGTCCAGAGTGCAAAAAAAAAATCTATACTTAAAAAATATATTCAATTTTTATTAAACTCTTTAAAAAAATAGCAATCTTTAATATAATCCGCACTTTCCAATGAACTGCTACGTTAGTGCGTGAATGAATAATATAAAATTTAGTAGGCATAAACTTTTATTGATATAAATAACACAGTACTAGTACATTACAGAGGAATAATGCAATAAGATAAGGGCAACATTTAATTTAATAACTTAGCTATAATTTAAGCATGCGCAGGTTTAAAAGAAGTAAGGTTTCGAAAGTGAAGCCATAACTTCTCCCACACAACAGCTTCATAGATATTCGAAACAGAACCTTCGCCGGCAGAGAGTGTGAGGCGGTAGTTAGTCCCTGCAACAACCTGAGATTCACCTTTGATTATCTTCTTAAACTTCAACTTCGCACCGCTCTGCTTGTCGTACTGAGTGACGGCAAATTTAGCGATCTCGATGACGTGAGGATCGTTGATGTTTGTGATGGGGATATAACCACCCAGCGGATATTGCTTCCTTGCTGCTGCCGCCGCAGAGGCCATTAGAAGAACGGTGACAAGAATTAGGGTTTGGAGTTTCATTACAAGCTTTCGAAATGGTTTTGCATTGGCGAGTTTGTTGTTGTTTATATATTGATTGATTTGAGAGGTTGCTTGCGGAAACACGTAAGTTATTTAATGATGAAACTGACTTGCCACGTCATCGTTATTTGGGATTGCCATGTAAAGATGTGCCTTGGTGTAGCCCACAGATGGAAGGCATTTTGAATATACCAATCAATCAAACAAACACAGGTAATGGAAAGTGAAAATTAGGTGGGTTGGATCCGTGAGCATTTATGCGGAACTTGTGTTAGACGACCACATTATTTTAAATATAATTAAACATTTTATATAAAAAACTATCATCTCGCTGAAGATATAAATTAATAAATTATTTGTAAAAATTTTTTTTGAACATGTATATTCAATGTTTTGAAACTTTAAATAATATTATTATATTAAATTTAATTTTTTTTTTAATTATAATATTTTTAATATATATTTTAAATTTAATTTAATTAGGTGACTCATATAATATCTAAATTTTAAATTTAATAAATATATACTGACAATAGTAAATCAACTATTTATAATATTATTAACTTTATTTAGTAATATTAAAACAATTTCAAAATTAAAAAAAAATGATGGACAACCGGACTCGATCAAATAATAACTCATTTTTGTCTCATTAATCAAGAGTTAATTCTCCAGTAAAATAATAGACGACCGAAGCTCCTAGACTCTATTTCCCAGGACATAAGTCAACATTTTCCGGCGAAGTCCTCCTCAACGGCAGGTACAAGTATTCTCGCAAAGGAATTTCTTATGCGACCGATATCTTTTCTGGATGACATCTTTAAGCCCATCTTTGACAATTCTCCGTCGCCTAAATGACATCTGTAAGTCTATTCCCGATATTATCGATCGACATTCACTTCATGCGAGTGCAAATTTCTAGGCACTTTAGTGTTCAATCATCTTCCACCTTCAGATCATGAAAGGCAGACAAGTCAATCTACATCCTCGGGTATAAGAAGATTGAACAGGGGTAGCTGTTGCACCCCAAAATTTATCCTCTCATTTTACTCAAAACATACTCCTAGAGGTCCTCAATTGCTCAAGATGACTAAGGATTGACCAGACAAATCCTCCTCCTAAGACAATGAGCCTCAAACTAGGGTTTCACTCCTAACCAAGATGTTTGAGTTCCAAGGGTCCTAAATGGTTTCCATTTCCCTATATGTCCTCAAGATCATCCATGCCAAATTTCATGCATTGCACAAGACGTTTGCTCAGTCAACTGCTCAATTGTGACCCACATACAATCAAACTTCAAAATTTTTGGTCAACATCAACATTTTGAAGTGATATCCATATTTGATCAAGGGTTGATCATGATTCCTCAAGAAATTCTCCTAATTCATCAAAACTCAAAAGTTGCTAAATTAGGGTTCCTATAGGAAAAGTCAACCAAATTTTGACCAGGAATAACTTTTTCATACTTTATCAGAAATTTCTCATCCAAGGCTCATTTTGAAGAGAATCTAATTCCCTACAACTTCTCTTCAACCCTCAAGTCCAAGAAATGCACCATTTGAAAGATACAAGCTCATACATTATAGGTCCTTTCAAAAAGAAAAAAAAAACACCTTTTGGATCAAAGCTTCTTACATGAACATGGAAGATCCAATAGAGATGAAACCAAAAGGGTTATTTAGAGGACTTCCTAAGCGTTACAAAAAGTCAAAGAACACCCTCTTAGGGTCAAAATTAAGAGAGATATGCATTGTCAAAGTTGGCCATTTTTTGAAATTTGCACAAAGTCAACAATGCTCAAAATTGCATTTTTTCCACATGGATCCATCTTTTCAAGATTGAATCTCAGTCCTAGCATGGTCCACGACCCATAAAACCCTCCATGAATTATTTGCTTATTTATTTGATTTATTTTTATTTTAATCATTTAAAAATCAAACTAAATAAAATAAATAATGTAGATTTGTTTTGATATGATTTTTGCATTGAATGATGGATCATATATGTTGTCAATAGCCAAAGAAATCGTGCAAGGCCAAATGGACACAAAATATCCACATATGGCAATTTTTCAAGATTTGATTTTTTCTTAAAACCATGCCATTAATCTTTGGATTCTTGCCATAAATATTACCCTAATCTAATTCACTACATATGCCAATGTATTGCAACCCTAGAGGAGAGGTTTTTCAGATGCGCAGCTGCCTCTAAGAGCAAGAACAAAGTGTCAATTTTTTGTTAAAAAGTGCAGATCGGATTCCTTTCCACAAGCGAGTTCAAAGAATTTCAAGGACTAAGCAACAATCCTTGGACCTCTAGGAAGTTACCACACTCATTCCCCAGGTCTGTAGCATCAAGAACAACTCTCTACACTCACGGTTTGTGTTCACTTTTTTCCAACTTCGATTCAATTCATTTACCCACTGTAAACGTAATTTGATTGCATCTTCATGTTCATCATCATCATCATAGGAACCTTTTTGAATGGTTTAATCAGAGTTTAAGCGCAGGTACAACCATTCGCCATTGTTAGGGTTCTGAATCTCCAAATTGGGGAACCCTAACTAGAGATAAAATTGGACAAAATTAGGGGCGCTATCATGCTCAGGAGATCATTTATAGTCAATCCATGTATTTGGTTTGAATTTATGTTCCTTGTATCGTGTTTTAGAATGTTGCAGGTTTGTAGCTACAGACAAAAACTGTCACTATAGCTTTTAGTGACAATTTTGTCCGTAGGTAAAGGTCTGGTATCAAATGCGACAACCCCCGTGAAGAACAAGATCAGGTGGCAGCATCCCATTTGAGGGTTTGAATCCACGCGCGCTTTCTGGGCATAGTGTTTTGTTTGGCTTATGTTTTATTTATTTATTATATATACAACATAATTGTCCAACTCAGTTGGTAGGAGACACGCTTGTGAAGGGAATGACCTGGGTTCGATCCCAGGTCCATGCAGTTTTGTGTTTTCTTATTAAATCTTGCAGGATCCAATGCGCTATGACCCAGAAGGACCACCATACGTCCTCAGATCCCACCCTTTGGATCATCTCAAAGAAGATCCAATGTTCTAGAATTGAAGATCCATGGTGCCTTCCTGAAGGCTGATCACACTGGAACGCACGCTGGAAATTGGGCCAGCGCCTTTGGGCCTAACATAAATTCAGCAAGGCACCCCCCAGTTTGCTATTTCATACCAGAACCATTTTAATTCTTTTTAATTTCTTTATTTAATTATTAGTTTTTTTTAATTACTTTACAAAAATCATTATTTTTTTTTAAATCACAAAACATTAGAATTATGTTTTCTTTTTCTTAAAATAATTAATTTCATTAATTGATTAGATTAGTTTAAATTAGGATAATTTAATTCCCTTTTCATAATTAAAATCAATTAGAGATTAGTTTTAATTTTCAAAAATTAATTATTTTCTCAAATAAAAAATCCAAAAATATTTTTCTTCTAAATCAATCAGATTCGTTAAACTTTAATTCCTCGTATTTAATTTATTCTCGCGCGCATTTATTTATTTATTTATTCCAATTATTGTATCTAATTCGAGTTTGTAGTAGCTTTTAACTTAGGTTTATTACTGCTTTTATTTACCGCTTTTCCCTCAAGTTTGGTTATGTAACCCCCTCCCTAAAGTCTTGTAATAGCTAGGTTTAAGATTCTCGCATTTTATTTTTTCGCTACTATTATCTGTTAGATGAATGATCATAGGATTGAATGGAAAGATAAATCAAATGTTTAAATGGTAGATCACCCTAAATGTGCAAGGATAAATAAACTAAAATCAAACACTTGCACATGCTCACCCCTAGGGTATCTCCCACTTCGGTTGCCTCAGAAAAATACGGTCACTATTCTCGAACGTGAGAATTCTTAGTGACTGTCCTCTAATTCAGAGATCTCAAGTCCCTTTCGAAGGTTGCCTCGGTAAAACAAAATGCGATCTTAGAACTTTAGGACAGTTACTAAGAGATCTTGCCATGTTGCCTTAAGTGACTGTAATCGTCCCTTTCGATTATCCCTCAAACTCCAATGATGGAGCTACCTACTCCTTAATAGTAGGATAATTCTGTCTAAAGGAAATAAGAAAACGAATAGTTTTTTTCGAGTAGGTAGAAACTTTTAAGTACTTGCTCAAAACAATCCATTTTTCACACTTACACTTTCAAACACTTTTCAGACAAAGTTTTCAAAACGCTTTATCACACTCTTGAGGACTGATACAAGGGTTACCATAAAGTGAAACGCCGCACTAAGGCATTTTCAAAGCTTTTCAAAACACATACAAAAGCAATCTAAAAATGAGAAAGTACCTAAGAGCCCGTGGAAAACCACAGATAGAAAGGGTGCTAACACCTTCCCTTTCTATAATCTACCCCCCGTACTCATAAACATCTCAAAAAATGTTTTTTCTGTTCTTTTTCCCTTTTCCTTTGTTGGATAAAATAAAAGACGGTGGCGACTCTTGCTTACCGTACATTTGCAAACACAAACACAAAACCAGTCGTAACTAAAACACAGTCAGTTCTGCCACCGTATCACACCCACCACTTCATAATCATGAAGTCTTGTTGGAAGAAATCTATTTCTTGGAGGTCTTTGGCTTGTTTCAGCCACAACCTCTTCGACTTCGACTGTGTCGAGAGTGTCAGTAACTTCTGTAACACCCCATTTCTACCCAGCGAGTTAAATGAAATCAGAGTTATAAAAATTTCCAACGAACAAATGGAATGCTACACTTTCAACTTGAAACTACGACATTCAATCATCTAGTTCAGATACATAACACATGAGCTTCAGATGAACCGATAACAACCAGCTTAGTCTTTAAAAATAAAAACAACTTTCATTACTACGCAGCGGATTCACAAAATTCAACTGAACATACCATATCATCTTATCCAACTCAAAACAACTTTAAGACAACAAGTCTCTAATGAAAACAACTTAAAAATTCAGCAACATAATGAAAATCAACAATAAGGAA